AGTAATCTAGGACCTCCCAGGCCTGTGGATAAATGATAAAGGATGGATGGCTTGGCAAGCTTCTCTGCCAGCTCCCTCAGTACTCTGGGGTGGATCCCATCTGGCCCCATAGACTTGTGAGTGTCCAGGTGGTGCAGCAGGTCATTAACTGCTTCCTCCTGGACTATGGGGAGTTTATTCTGCTTCCAGCTCAGGGGGCTGGGTACCCAGAGAACAACTGGTCTGACTCTTAAAGACTGAGGCAAAGAAGGCATTAAGTACCTCAGCCTCTTCCTCATCCTTGGTGGCAATGTTGCCCCCTGTATCCAATAAAAGATGGAGATTCTCCTTGGCTCTCTTTTTGTCGTTAGTGTATTTGTAAAGACATGTTTTGTTATCTATTACAACATTGGCTGGATTGAGTTCTAGCTGGGCTTTTGTCTTTCTAATTTTCTCTCTGCAATTTCATCAAATTTAACACCTATAATGGGTCTGATTTTCATGCTCAAAGGGAAGAGAGGTGGCAGGAGAGATGAGATTAAAATTCTGTAAGATTTTCCTCTTCGTTCCCTAAGAATTGTTAAAATTTATTCAGTCCCTTGTGGTACTGCAGCAACTAATCTTTCTGCAGTGTTCAGTTACACCTTTTGTTTCAAATTTGAAAGACCTGAAAGCCAGCAAAACCCCATAGTTTCATCCTTCAGTTGCTGGTAGGATTGTCTGTGTGGCAACTGATGCCCAGGTATTGAAGTTTCTTCTAAGTAGCCAATTGGTGGAAGGATGGAGAGAGCACTTCTAAGCAGATCTAATGCAGCATTTTGGGGGCTAGGAAGCTTGGGCATGTTGAGAAGTTGGGCCATTTTCAGTCTGCCATTAACCAGCAGGGGACACAAAGGGGTGCTGCAGGTCTGTGCTAAGTGTTTCTTACGGCTTTCTGTGTGTTGCCACAACTGATTATTTTAGAGGTTAAGACAGAAGCTTGCAAACAATCCTGAACTTCATAGTAGCAAAGAATAAAACAGCGTAAATATATCTGGAAGTTATCAGCTGTGTTCTTTGCAAGAAACTTCATAATATTTCAAATATGTGAATTGTTTAAATACAGTGATTTTGTATCCAAAATGCATATTTGTCAAATATTTTTACATATGATTGTGTTGCATTGCTTTTCCTGTACGTAACTGTTTCATTTAAATGTTTTTAGTAAAATTAAACCAAATTTGCTTGATACTAGGCTCAAATTCTGAATTATCATTTAAAACATCAGTAATGCTGTACACAAAGGTTGTGTGAAGAGTAATTTCAGAAGTAAACAACTTAGTTAACTTTAATATTTTTAGAAGCATATGTAACTGAGTGTCATTTGTGCATTTGAAATCATCTCCACTGAACATCAGATCAAGTATAGTTATTTTCTGAGTGTAAGGTGTGTATATAAGCTGGTGAAATATGTATATAAACAAATCATTTTCTTCTTCAGTTAACCCAGTGTTTCAGTTACATGTCTTGCAACTTACAAATTGTGCTACACTCACAAGAAAAACAGTTACAGTTTGTAAAACACAGATATTTTTGGAAAACTACGTAGAGTGTGAGTTTGAGAAAAGTCTTCAAATTTAAAGTTTTGTTTGGAAAGTTTGTATTTCGCTACTGAAATCAAGTAACTTTCCTGGCAACATTCTATGTATGAAATAGTTGGCAGCAATCTAAAAAAATAGGGAAATGCAGCCTGCATGATTAAATTTTCTTCACACACACAGTGAAAAATAACTGCCGTTCAGAGATTGTTTTAAAATCTCTTGGCAAAATAAAGGCTGCAGGTTATCATGCAGTGTTCCTGGTTTTGTTCTCTAAGGATAACCTGAGATTTCCTTGTGTGTGAACAGTAAGCCTATTCAGAAGCTGTAAATCCACCTGTTGCAACTGTTGGAGAGTTATTTGCTTTATTGATTTTTGTTAGGAAACCTGAGGATTCTTGTACTCTAATGTCTTTGAAACGAGGTCTTTGAATCGCAGTACACTGCTTACACTGAAAATTCCAGTAAATCCATAGGTCACTAGACCAGTCAAGGTAGAGCCCAGACACTTTGAAATATGTAATGAACTGCAGTGAAATAACCTTACAAGAGAGACGACACATGATCACTCTGACCTACAGTACCCTTATAAAGCATGCATTACTTCACCAGTCAAACTGTGTTGCATCCTGACACAGGCTTCAGAGTGCTTAGTCTTTCAGATAGTAAAGGGAAAAATATCTGTAGTTATTCCTTCACAATATGGTAGTTGTGTTTATTTTCAATGTGGGGGGTGGTGTTGGTGTTGTGTTTGTTTGGTTTTTAAGTATTCTGTGATTGAAGGTGGTATTCAGAGCTACTTATATTTCTCCCTCCAAAAGAATGCCCTTTCTCTTTAGCATGCTGCTTTTAGCATTTATTATGTTGGAAGCTGGGGATATGTAAAATAATCAAAAGTGTATGTTGTGGTTTTTTTAAATCGTACTTGGCTTTGTCTAAATCAGCACCTTCTTGTGTGTGAATTAGATTGCAGAACTGCTAGGGTCTAATAAGGTAGTGAATGTATTTTTTTCAACTTTTTTTTCAGATGAAAAAGCAATTTGGTGATAATGAAGCAATTACTCAGGAAATTGTTGGTTCTGCTCATGTGGAGAATTATGCTTTGAAAATGTTTTTATATGCAGACAATGAAGACAGAGCTGGGCAATTTCATAAGTAGGTGAAAATCTTTGGTTTTGTTATCTGAATTAAGATACCAGTCAGGAAATTTGAATATCCAAACTCTCTTTAATTTGACTGGAAACAAGAATTGTGCTTTAATGCATTAATTTCTCTTTCAGAAAACTTGATTTGTTACTACTTCTATGTCTCTAACTTCACACATTAACTGGTGTCCTCCTTCTTGTGTTCTTTAGGAGGTTGCTCGCCTACTGCCAAGCCTTCTAAAACCTCAGGCTAACATTGAGCTTGGCATCAAGCATGTTACGGTTTTTACTGTCCAGCGATATTAAAATAGTTTTGATGATACATTATGTGGTTTGATGTACAGCAATTACTACAGCTGGATGATTTTGCTAGGCTTTTTCTAAGATAATATAGGATGTCCTATGTCCTATATTGAACATTCCAAACAAGAAACTCCATGCAGAACAGATGACCAGCTTTAAAAAATACTGAAAACTTTCTGCATAGTAGCCAGGAGACTAGCTAATATATTGCCAAACTTAAACATTGTGAAGTAAGTTCTGTAACATCAGCTTAAAAAAAAACTAAAATAGTGATGATTGGTTTGAAATAAGCCTGTGTGATCTAAAATGCCAACTTTCAAAATGTGGTCCTGAGACACTGACATTACCAAGTTAGTGAAATGTTTTCTTTTTTACAGAAACATGATAAAGTCCTTTTATACTGCAAGTCTCCTGATAGACGTTCTAACAGTATTTGGGGAGCTCTCTGAAGAGGTAAGTGTTACGGATATCAGTGTATTATCTGATTGCTTTTCCTAGCACAGGTGCAAATTACTGGTTTAGTTCTGTAAAGTTGTTTTTATAATTTGTGACTACGAACTTGAAAGAGCATAGGTTCTAATTGTGTAGTCAAATACATGATAGTAAGTCATAAGGAATTGTGCAAAGTATTTCAAATAAATTATATGTGAAATACTAGATAACTGTTACCTGTTAGAAGATGCTTCATGACTTAAGTATCAGTTAGAAATGCAAAGTCTGATTATTACTGTGGGGCACATAGCATTACATTAAGCAAGTAGGAATAATTATAGGGAACAATGATGCGAGGTTCCTAACTTTTTCCACCTTTACTTTTTTCACCCTGCAAGCAAGAACTTTAGTGCTAGTAACTGAGGTGGAATTGTATACAGGTTTAGTTAGAACATATATTTTTGGTTTTGCAACAAACACCACTTCTAAAAGTTGATATGTTAAGTTGGAAGAGTATGAATTTACTTAATAAAAAATGGCTTGCTATCTGGCCATTCGGACACGAATGCTTTAATTAAAAAAAAAGATCTACTAAACTAATTAACACAATGCTCTTTATGGCGGGTAATCAAACAAGCACTCCAGAATTGGCTGAACAAGATCATTATTGCTTTTATTAAGGCACGCCAGAATAATCTCTTGGTCTGTTTTAAAACAAACTTTTCTATTAGGTGCATAGTCAGCTGCTTTCAGTTATTCATGCCCCACAGAAGAATTAATCTCAGATATAGAGGAGCAGGTACTTAATAAAGTATTCCTCATTCTGAAAATTAAAAGTGAGGTTTCCTTGCTAAATTAACTGAATGAGAAGTTAATTTTGAAAATGTCATGGTATAGTACGTAACTTCTGGAAAAGAAAAAAAAAAAAAAATTAGAGAAAGCTGCTACTACTCATGAGGACAAGTTTCAAAGATCAATAGAGGAAGATTGAAGTACCTGGAAAAATAAATAAGAAACAGCAACAACACTAAACAAAACCAGTAAGTGCTGATCACATAAGTGCTGAATATGTCTCAGGACACCTAAATCCGCACAGGTAATCTACAGGTTGGTTTGGGGTTTTTTTTACATGTTTAAGTGTTTACATGCTTCCACACTTACAGTAGTGAAAATGCCTCAGAAATCAGAAGTTCTGCTGCTTTGCAGGCCCATAACAAGCCCATAGCTGTGTTGGTCCCAAACTATTCCATGCCCTGCTTGGAATTCACAGACTTGACATCCTATATGTAAATCGCCAATCTGATAAGCGTGCCTAACCTGCAGTCATATTTTTTTAGTTTAAAATGCAGTCGCCGTGACTACTTTCATTTGTAAATATTGGAAGGAAGGTTAAAGTGGTTTTGATAGAGTGGCACTTCTTGTATACTATGATGTATAGGAATATAGGTGTAGCTATTAAAGATAGATCTTGCCCAAGAAGAACACTCGACCAAGTGTTCTTGCAAGATTCTCTATCTTCCATAGCCTGAGACTGTACCAATCTACAATTTTCATCCATCAAGAGATGCAAGTAAGATTGCTCTTCCATGTGTTCTCTTAAAACTGGCTGCTATGCACCCTGACATCCTTTACAATATCAAATAATAATGGTTCCTAAAGCCAGAGAGTGAATACACATTGAGTTGGACTGAAAAGACAGTCATCTTGGACTGTGGGAATCCAGCGCACTGATTCGATGACTCCTCAGAGGTCCTGAAGCAATCCTTGTAGATGGAAAAAATTGTTATAAATGTCAATGTGGAATGCTAGCAGTGATATGTTTACTACTGAATGTGGGGGGTTTTTGTTGATGCTGAAAGGACAGAAGCACTTTGTAATTGGAATGAAGCAGAATTACCTCATTTTGATTGTTTAATCGGTGAAGATGTTGTTAAAAGAGAGTGTACAAGAAGTACAGTGAAAAGGTTTGCACTTCTGGCTAGCATCATTACATTTCAGCAGTTTTCTTATCCATTGTCACATGAAGGAATGATGGGACGTGACTGTCTTAGACTTTTGCAGCAGCTTTTGTTAGTTTGAAGTACACTCAGCCTGACCCCTGGTTATATAGTAAGACATCTAAATTTTCTATCCATTCATATTATTCGGACCATCTGTGTATCTTTTCAGTATGTAATTGCCTTCATATGTATGGAGTATCAACTATTAAAGGTGCAGAAGGCAGATACTTGACACCTAAAATTAGAAAATGAGTGTTCTAAATAATATGTATATTTTTAATTGGCAAGTGGTTGATTATTGGGTAGTATGAATGGATTGTGTCACAGGAAACAGTGGATGTTCCATATCTCAATATCAGAACTAGGAAAAAAGGATTTTCTGGAAGATGGGTTTTACAAGACACAGCTTACATCAGATCAGTAAGAAGCTGTGTGATGGTAGTGTTATTTTCATTTACCTTTGTAGTAACATTCATACAGTACGGCAGGCTTCCAAAAAGGGACAGCAGGGCATATTAAAAACAAACTAAAAGCAACAAAATTTAGTTCTCAGTTCCAGAAGGATAAGCATTGCAGTTGGGATGCATAATGACACACATCAAATGCTCTTTGTTCCCTTCTCCTCTCTCTGTCCAGTGTTTTGTTGCAGGTTTTTTCGATTTATTCTTAAATAGGCTTTCCCTGGCTGAGGGGCTCACCTGTGTCCCGCAGTGGGTCTGCTGGAGCTGGCTGTGTCTGGCAGAGGGCAGCCCTGGCCCCTCCTTGCAATTGCCACCCCTCCCGCCTCCCCACCATCACCAGCACTTGGGCACGGACACCTGATTCAACAGCATCTTCACACTTTATCAAGACATAATTGTGGTATTAGAACAGAGGGGAGATGTACGGGCTGTTAAACATTGCGTAATGTTCTTTTAGAAAAGAACCATACTCTGGATGTGTATTTCTGCATTTTGTGGCTTCTAGTGTGTTTGTGAATGATAAAGGAATTCGTCTGTAACAGTACCTGGCCAGAAAAGATTATGAACAGAAAGTATGTAAGAGAAAGCTCTGTCTTCCAATTGTACTTGTCCTTTCTGAGGTATATAGTGAATGCATTTTAATAAAACTGTCATTAGAGTAGAAGTTTTTCTGGAAAACATTTTGTTTGCGGAAACAAGGACTGTATCTTTCTCATGGGCCACATGAGCATCCTGGTGGATAACAATGTATTAAATGTAAGCAAGGGAGCTTGCTGGAGATGCCCATTATACTGTCACTCTACCCCTTTCTAGACTTTGTGAGGTACAGTTCTGAATTTCATTTTATTAATTCTCAAAAACTTTGGATGTAATTTCAGTCAGGACTGTTAAAGAGAGATTATGCTGTCTACCTTGGTTCTGAAACCACTTTACTTGCGATTGTTACTGTGGAAATTTGAGTTCACCAGTACCTTGCAGGTGATGATGATGATGCGAAACACGCTATCAACCTACATTGTTCACTTGGCCAAATTATTGCACTCATCCTTCCACATTTCTCATCTCTGTTTATATTCAGCCTTGTTCCTTGAAATATATTACCTCATAACTGTCAGAACTGGTTATTTCTCTTACAACTTTTGACAAAATAGTTGATTTGCGTAACTGCTTTAAGATTTCTCATAACAATTGAGAACTCTTCTTGGATGAAAAAAACACTCTTCACTTCATGTTTTGACATATTAAAGTTGTACCTAAGAACAGTAAAGTATATTTTAAAAAATGAAATGGAAAATCTCAAAATAGTTGAGATTCTGACATTTATTTCAATTGCTCATGTTTTGTGAAAAGAAAAAAATTATGAAAACCCAGGTGAAATGCTTTTCCTCAATTCCTTTTTCCCCAAAACTGAAAACAGTGAAAAATCATGTTGATTTTCTTTAAATACTGAAGTTACTACCACCTTTTTTTAATTTCACACTATTCTGTGGAAACAGAAATGGAATCAGAAAGACAAGTGGCAGATTCACTTTGCACTGCTATTGGTTCATATTTACACCACTATAGAAGATGAGAGTTGGCAAAAAAATTATATTAACTGTCAATATAGTAATTTTTTGAGAACTATTAATATTTTTTCTAATAACTGAACTATTAAACTTGTCATTAACAGTTTATTTAAAGTCATTATTATCATAACTCCTTGCTCTGCAGGTAGTTTATGTATTGCTAAAGTCCTTCATCTGATCTTTAGCTATGTTTTGAAGATATTAAATCAAAATTTGTATGTCCTAGAATATCCCTCATACAGCACATTAATCTGCAACAACAGCAGCCTTTCTGTATTAATGCTTTTAAATAAATTTTTTAAATGGAGAATAATGTAATTAGAAAAGATTTTATATTATCGATCAGCAGGAGTAGCATTTTAAGTTTCAGATATTTAAAGTAAATAATCATCTAAGTTTATGAAGATAGGAAGTTTTCGTCACATTAGTAAATACTATGTAGCGCTCCATCTTTCATACTAGATGCTCCTAGTATAATTTATTTCCTTTTCCTGACATGCTGCACTAATTGAAGATACCAGCGTTTTCCTTTCATGCTGATATCCTGTTAGAGCTGGTTTTTTGGTTTGGTTTTTTTTTGGTTTGGTTTTTTTTTTTAACTGATTAATTAATTGTGCATGTGTTGTGTATCTGTAAAGGGGTGTCAAGTGATAGCAGAGAAAACAGTTTAGTTTTATAATCTCAGGGTGGAAAACCTGCTTATATTTCTGTTTTGAATGCATTAATTTGCAGAAGTGAGTGGTTAAAATGGCTGGCCTTTTCCCTTCCCCAGAATGCCCAGCACAGGAAGTATGCCAGGTGGAAGGCAGCGTACATTCATAACTGCTTGAAGAACGGAGAGACTCCTCAGCCTGGGCCTATTGGAATGGAAGGAGAGAGCTTCGGTATGTGTTTCCCTTGTCTTTTTAAAAGAGCAGAAGGCTGGGCCAAGACCGACATGGTGATATGCACAGTTCTTCAGGGAGCACCCCACAGGAATCACAGCTTTCCTGTTTAATGTTCCATTCACGATGGGCTGCCTTCTGCTTTTTCTTCTCTGCTTCACCTACTGCTGTTTTTATTGGACTTTACTATTTGATTGACTTATTTAATGAAATTTTTTTTCTTTCCTCTGTAGTGGAGGTTATTATTTTGCATACAGCTACTTTCTAAGAAGGCGTTGTCACCTTTGGGCCAAAACCATGCATTTCTTTAACGCTACCCACAGTCCTTCTTTTAAATATTTTCTGTAAAGTTATGTTCCCTTTGCCAGTTTGTCCTCTCTCAGGAGTTAAGTAGGAATAGAAAATGGATTCATTGTAGATGAATTCAACTTCAAAGCAAACATCTGATTGTGAGAGAGCCTCTTCCTCCCCATATAATAATGTGGTTTTCAAAATAGGTTTATGGCCTACTCTTTTTAGATAGGATTTCTTGCTGCTTTCTCACTTCTCACTCATCCCTATTTTCCCTCTGGTTTTAGTTACTCCCTTTGTTCTTCTGCTACCTGACTTTCCTGTACAGGATTCCTCAAAGTTACCTCCTTAACTGTTAGCTTAGTTAGTGGTGACATCCAAGGCCACTTACCAAAATTAATAATTATCAGAACAGGTTCTTTAAAACCTCCCAAACTGTAACTTTTACTTTCTTCTATTTAATGCATTCAGACCTTTCTAAATTCTGTTGCTAATTTAAAAGTCTTAGTTCTTCAGTAAGAAATGTTAGGGGCATCCAAACCTTTCTCATTTAGAGCTTTTTTTAAGACAGACACCACCACTGTGAGCAGACACAAGCTAGCCTCTCCATGAAGTAACAAAACACATACTAAGCAGACTCTGTCTTACAAGAGCACATTGATCACAACCTAACCTATTCGGAAAAAGACATCTCCATTCTCTTATATCATTGTGTGGTTTTTTTATGAAAAATAACTAAACAATCAAAACAGAGCTGCTATATTATTTCTAAACTTTATAATGTCAACCTATTTCTAAAGTATGGATCCAGAGGCTTCACAGATACACATGAGAATGAAATCACTTACAAAACTTTTTTTCTTAAGCTGCTAAAACTGATAATACTATTACTGTTCTATAAACTGATCATGCTTTTCAGTTATTGATAAAAACAAAATATGTACAAAAAATAATGCATTTCTGAAAATTATAAAAATGATGTGTAATTACAGAATCATTAAGTTAACTTTCAAAATATTTTCACCCATTTATTTTTCCATTGTTTGCAGTTTTTTCTATGCTTAATGCTTTATGAATGTTAATTCTTTTTGCATTTCATCAGTTGCTTTTGATAGCGATCAGTTTTGTTAATAAGGGGTCTCTTAGTTTTCTTCCCCAGACAGCGCAGAAGTTTGGAATACAATTTTTAAATGTGAATCTCTTATGAAAATAGGATGTCTTTGGAATGGATATTTCCATTATGCAAATTAAACCAGACTAATGCTGCACAATGACAATAGCCTCTGTGTATAATTCTTCACATACCTAATGAAACAATTAAGAATATTAATCTCAACTTAAGCTTGAATTTAGTCATAAATTTTGTAATAAAAAGAATCAATAAACAAATCGAAAATGCAGAAGAGATAAATCTAACTTGTTAGGTAGTTGTGGAGGTGGTTACATAAAGTTTTATATTCATATATATTAATACATATGATCCATATATCTACATATGTGCGCACACACAGAGATATATGTACACATGCAAGTATTTATTTGTTTCCATTCATTCATGTTTGGGGTCTATACCTGGGTCTTAGGTGGATTTTGAAGTTTGAACCTGTAATTTCAAATATGTTATGAATAGGCTTGTCATTTCCTGCATGTTGGTTTTATTTTAAACATGTCAAAACATTGGAAAACTGGTTTCTCTTCTGGTTCTCAATCATCATGCGATCTCATATTTTGAAGCTTCTTTCCTGTTCACCTGTGAAGAAAGAGGAGGATGGGCATGACCTACTATTTATAGAAAGATTAAACTGGTGGCCTTTCCAGTAAGGTATAGCATCCTATTCCGCTTGGCAGCTACTAGCAGAAGACGTGCAGCAGAAGATAAAAAGTGACAAAGTGGCATGAATAAAAATTGTCTAGCTTACCACCTTTATCAGACAGTGAGCAAAGTATAAGTAAGTAGAAGGTAGGCAGTCTTACTCCTTCCAAGCCCACCTTTGTTAGAAAGTAGTGTATTGCTTGAAGTATGAAAATTTTCTATTGTCTTCCAAATGTGAACTGGGGAACATGGCATACAAGGAGAAGTTAAGTGGTTCTAAGGACAGTTCTTACTGCTGTCTTAAACTCTACTTAATGGGAGAGTGTAGAGAAGATTGAAGTCAGACTCTTGGATGTTCGTAGTGACAGAACAACAGGCAATGGACACAGGTTGCAACAAAGAAAATGTGAATTAATTATTAGGAAAATAATTTTTATCATGAATGTGGTCAGATATTGAAAAGAATGGCCAAGAGAGGTTATAGAACCTTGTAAATATTCAAAACCCAACTGGACACAGTCCTGGGCAATTGGCTGTAGCTGACCCTGCTTGAATGAGGGGTTGGACTAGGTAATCTCAAGAGGTCCCCTCCAACCTCAGCCATCCTGGTGCCCAGAGCAGCATGGTCCATTAGCGCTGCTATGAGTGAGGAAGTGGACCAGGTAGCCTGCAAGGGATCCTCCATACTTTTTATGATTATTGAAAAAAATCATTCAGTTGTATATGGAAAATAGAATCAATGAGTGGAAAGAGGAGAGGGCCAGATAAGAGTGCTTCTGAGGTTCGAGTTTAGCCAAAAAAGTCTGAAAAGTGGTTCTCCACAGTGTAATCTCTTATCATTTTTATCTCCTGGCCACCATTACATTTAAAAAAAAAAATCTTTAAAAATTATAAAATTCATCATCACCATTTTTTAATGAGAATGTTTACCAAACATCTATCCCTGTTTATTGTTAGCCTTTATTTTGTTAAAAGTAAACAACAGTGTCTAAAAGCCTTGGTGTCAATTATAATTTCTTTGCTCTTTTTCTGGTTAACATAGTTTGGGTGTTAATACTCTAGAAACACTACAACATAAGTAAATTAAAATATTTGTGAACAAGTAATGAGTATGATACAATTTTACTTCCAAGGTATTGGTTTATTCTTGTTGTTATGCTTTCCTTACCTAAAGATGCCCTACAGGCTTTAACACCGGAATGGCTCCAAAATGAAATATGCTCCAATCTAGGCACAGCTATATTTGAAGTGAAGAATTAGCAATCTCATTTCTTCGTCAATGTACGATCTTTTCAAGGCAGTTTTCCTAACTGCTGGTGCAGCTGCAGCAAGAGAGACTTACAATGCAACTCTGGTGGTAAACATCACTGCATCTTTTTAAGTCAAATTACACCAGTTTGATAAATTAATGGAGAAGACAACATGTGGGAAAAAAACCCTTTTGTTATAGTGAATGTAATGAATAACCGAATTAAGTATTTCCAGCTTTAAATGAGTGCTCTTTAGTGCTTTGGCTCATAGAGTGGTAATGTTTACAAAGCTCACCTGATTATGTGAAATGAATTATGAATTCTAAACAATTGCAAAAATAGGATTTCTAAGCAAAGATTACGGAGCGTTTTCTAAAAAATCTGTGTATGCAGCTTGTGTAGAAACAATAATTGTTCCTCAGCAGCAACAACTAGGCTATTTCTTCATCTTATTATTGTGGAGGCAAAGGTAACTGACTTGCTCAAGGCTGCAAAAGAAACTTGTAGGAGGGAAAGTAGAATCCAGACTTAACTCAAATCCTTTATATTCACTGCAGATCATTACAAGCAGTAGTGTGAATAGATGAAGACTGTTGCTTTAATTAACAAGTTCTGTCTACATAGAACTTAAAAAGGGATGCAAATGCCGAGTGAGTCAAAATTTTAACATCCTTATCGATAGGGACCTGCAATATCTGTAATATGGCAATGTCTTTTTATTTGTTGAATTGTATTTCGTGTAGTAAGAGAATTTCTCACACACTTTTATTTTCTGAGGAATGACTTTTTGACATTAATTTTTGGAAATTAACTCCATCGTGCAGGTGTCCATAATGCTTTATAAAACCAAGACAAAAATTTTATGCAAATTAATTTTTGTTCGAAGAATCAGTAAAAAAAAAGTGTCAATTCTTGCTTTGTGCATCATGAGAAGAAAAGCAGCATTGTTTGAATGTACGGCTGGACCTTCCCCATTCCTTTCTGCTTGCTCATTTTCTTCCTCTCCTTGCGAGTGGAAAAAGTCTGTTTAAACAGAGTGAAACTAGGTCTCTGTAGCTTGACAAGTTACCATTTCTTTCCAAAGTGTTATTTTCTTTGTGATTCTTGAAAACCATACTGTAACTCTTGGACATGTTTTTACAGTAACATAGGCATGCTTTATGCAGTTCTGCTGTTGGATTTATGGATGCTTTTGTCAGGATGCCACCATGGAAACCTTAAAATGACATGCTAGATTTATTAATGCAGTTGGAATACAAGTCCTAGAGTACACATAAAGGTCACTTAGCAGTAGCCCTAGGTCATCCAACAAGATTTTATATTAATGGAAAAAAAAATTTAAAATGTAATTTCAAATACAGGAACAAAAGGATCCTAAATGGTCATGGTATAGCCATAGTAAAATACATTAAATGTCACCACTTTCATTACAATATATAATACGTATTCTGCATTTATATTGCAGAATTCCAGGAAACCTTTATAGTCCTAACTAGTAGAAAGAACAGCGTATGTAAAGTTGATGGATTTTTTTAGTCCATTTGTCAATGTTTTGGAAAAAAATATACTTACATATATATATATCTTTTTGAAAAGTGGTGTTCCAACAGAACCTTACATTATGCCTCTTTTAGCAACATCTCAAGCTAAAGAGAAACAGTGCAGCAGAATGAGAAAAAGAAAATGTTTTAAAATGAAAGTTAATAGATTACCTTTCTAATTCTCTAGACTCCTTAAGAGTAGAAGTCCAGAGAACTGGAGGTGTCTGGACCCCTTAAAAATAAAAATTTTGCTAATTTTGAATTTAGTGCTCTCGTCTGCTGAAGTTAAGTCATAATTGGTGCTTCCTTGCACTAGACAAGGGAATGCCATTAAGCCTTGAGAATCTTCTATTTATATGATAGTATCTTTGGAAAGTTGGCTATGGGGCCAGGGGTATCAGCCTTACTCCACAAAGTCTTGCCTTCAATAAATAAATAATAATAATTAAAAAAAACAAGCTACAAACAGATAGTCTGGGTATACTGTAGCTCTGAGGAAAATCTAAAAAGAACACGGATTTGTTATGCTGGGATCTAAGCACAAAGGCTGATGAGGTTCCAAGACAAGAAACTCAGCTGGAGCTGAAACTGGAATGTGAAACAATTGTGTCACTGTTTCACAGCCTAGTATTTCAGCATCTCTAAGCAAATTGCAAGGAACTTTAAATTCTAGGTTATTACTGCTTTATGAGAAATTAATTCTCTAATTTTTCTAGCATTCATTCCCATTCCCTGGAAGAGATTTGTTTTTCAATAACATTATGAATGTTCTAACCACAGAACCTAAACCAGTTTGTTGACTTAAATGTTCTTTTCCAGCAGCCTGAAATCCTTCTATTTAGCACTACTTTTAAAACACTTCACAAACGCCACCAGCACTTATCTCAAAATGGTTCTAAGACTTTGATAAAGAATGTTTTAAGTATTTACTTTGCAGACAGAATAGTTACAATACTTTGATGACATTTGAGCACTTTAAACAGCTAGGAAGAATTAATTTAAACAAAGCTACTTTTATCTTTAATACAGTTTAACATTTACCAATTGCATAATGAGCAAATCAAACAGTTGAGCTTGATCTCTTGATACATATGCCTGATTAAAAAGTATATTGCCCTCTTGTGAATTTGCTTCTTACAGGCACTGTTATTAAGGGTGGTCAGCACTTCTAACACTTCTTTTTTTCCTTTGCTTTTTTATTTATAATATTGCCAGACTTTAACCATTTGAGTTTATATTTTGCATGACTAGTGTTGCCTGTAGCACTGCACTTCCACAGGAGACCATGAACTGGGCAGTGAGGAAGTTTGAAGCTGAAACTGGGAATGTCTTGGAGAAAAGATAGGGAGGTAGTGCAAGACAGACACGAGTGTGGGGCAAGGGGTTGCAGATATGGGATATGAAATCCTGGGTCAGAGAGAGAGAAATCAGAACGGGACTGAAGAGCCAGATAAGGGCAACAGGGAGATGCAGGGGGCAGAATAAAGGAATAAATACATTAACACTTTAAGTCTCGGCAAGAACTTACAGGTCATTTCTCTTAATTGAGATACTAAGTGCAATGAAAGCGTGTTTTCTCCCACTCCCTCATTCTCAAAAGTGGCTTAGTAACTTTTACAACAGCTTTCCCAAAGTACTAGCTGCAGGCAGACCCCCAACATGGAAATTCCAACTTTATGGCTACAATTTGACCAAGCTGTAAATAACTGATAACAGAGTTACAAGTAAACTTGGGCAGCCTTACCTTCAGACAGCATGATGGGTGCTCTGTGTAGCTATCTCATTAATCTTATGTACAGTACGTCTCTGGTATTTTGTTAAACTAGATTTTATTTTCTGAAACTGTTTAAAATATTTTTTTTTGTTAACACCAAAAACACTGAAAAATGCAGCATTCAACCAATGGCTATTCCTATTATTACTTTATTATTATTATTTAAAAGGTGTTTACTTTTAAATCTCACCTTTTTTTTTGCCAATTTTAACACATTTAATTTTACTTCCATGCATGTTAGCGACACAATATTGCAGTATGAGTTTCTAGCAAAAAATACAGCAAAGGAAAAATCTGGCACTTTAAAATATTCTTTGCCTTCCAGAAATCTGCCAGATGTTTGTTTGCATATGTCAGAAATAGCTTTGTAAAACCACTGCCTGAATTACTGGTTACAGCAAATGAAAGTAATTTTCACAAGAGTAACATACAAAAATTTTATCATGTTCTGTGTTTTTATATTAAATTTTGCTAGCAGTGCTTGACACTCCTGACAGAACTTTGCTTCCGGGTTTCTTTGCTTTTTAATACTTTTAAATAAAGATTATCAGTATTAGACTGTGGATTTGGGGGATTTGTGAATTTATTAGTACTTGGATGTTCTGAATGGAACTACTACAACTTTACAATATAAAACAAGAATATATTCTTTAACTGTGTATTTATTGAAGTCCAGTAAAAATGTCCTAATGACAATGCTGTTGATTTTACTCCGCATTATAGCCTTTTGTTGTAGTAAATAGTGTTGTGAATTAGAAGGCCTTTAGTCATTTTTGATAAAGGTATTACCTGAACTTTTTCTGAGAGAAAGAGGACCTTATATGGGAAAAATTTCTGATATTTCTTTACCAGCTCTAGACACGTACAAGTTCTGTGCTCCCGTATTCATTTTGCTCCCTTTCAAGATCTGGCTGTTAACAAAGCCATTCCTAAAACTCTGCTTGTTCCACCTGACTTTATTGATACAAATGAACATATACACGGTAAAAGAAAATAAGGGGGGTTTTAATTGAGCTGAATTAAAATTAAGGAGCAGAAATCAACTATATTCTAAACTAACTGGTGTCATTATCATAATAAAATTGGGCCATTAGCCTTCAAAACAACATCGAATAAACTAGACCAGAACCTTAAGAACATGACTAGATTGAAAAATAATACGTTCCTTGTACGTGCTATGGGATATACTGAACCTCATTATTCTTACAGTGCATTATGTACTCTAACTCTTCTAGATACAATTATGACTCAGTTAAGCTGGATTTTGTTTTCGTGTTTGGTATTACTTTACCAAAGTTCCCCTTTTTTATTATTTGTGGTTTATTTAATTGATACGGGGGGAAGGATTGGCGCTGTCTTTTCTTTTTATGAAGAGTTTGTAAAGCAAATACAGTTTTCCATACTCTGGTTCATGTATATATTAAAATATAGATTACTACATATTTGTGGTATCTTGTTCAACTACTGTGGATGCAGTACATGGGAGTATAAGGGATTGTACTAATGAGACAAATTGCTTATGTTTAGACCAGTAATGAGATGATCCTTCAGTTTAAACAGAAGAGATCTTTGAAAGTATGTGAGTTTCTAGATACTTATCCTATAATATGTTGCTTTTTTACTTTGTCAAATCAACCATAAGTGGTTTGGGTTGGTAAATGTTTAATTTTTCTACTAACAGAAATTTGAAAGGAGGTTTTAAAAGAAAGCCTGAGTTTTCAAGTGTTTGTACAGAAGAGTTGCAGTAATTCTTATTTTGTGTCGTCTTAGCAGATGTTGAAAGGGAAGAAGCAGGGTCATCTTCTCTCCATAGTGGAACAACTCAACCAACATCATCGTCTACATATGAAGCTAACATACCAACTAGTAATTACACTGGCATACATATACCACCAGGTGCCCATGCTCCAGCCAACACTCCAGCTGAAGTACCTCATAACACAGGTATGTCCAAGTCCCACCCAAAAAATTCATGCCTTTATTGAGAGGCAAATTCTAGCCCTCTTTCCATTACATATAAAGTAAAATAATATATGTATTTTATGCAGAAGCAACTTCATAAATTAACATTGTAAAAATGCCATGGGAAATATTTTTTTGTTTGTTTTTTTATGGTTTTTAAAATACGTAATTCATATTTTGGAGCATTTTGCTAGAAAAGATATATGGACTGAAAAAATGAGTGTTTCTGCAGACAGAATGTTTTTTTCTTCTCTAGAATCATGCATTGCAACATCTATACTGTAAAACACCATTTGAATCTTTCACTTGATAGATGAAATTATATTACTTCATTTCACGTCTAACTTTCCCTCTGCAGATAGGTTGCTCTTCTTTATGTTGGAACATATCCAGCATAGTGTAGAAACTGTTGCACCACCACCATAATGGTCATGCCTGATGTACCATTCATACCTTTCTTCTATTTGGCTTATGCTCTTTTTCCCGTGCAAGTACTTCAGTGTGATTGACCTCAAACAATGTTATTAATGGAAATTTTGTCCCTACTGCTAAACATATTGGCTCCTACATCCTCCTTCTTATTCTGTGTCATTTTTGGACCAAAAGCAAGTTCTTAAAAATCCAAAGTTCTTTCCAGTTGCTGTATTTAAAAAAAAAAAACAAGAAAAGTTGTATTAAACAGTTTGTGAATACAACTTTTTCACCTCATGTTACCTTTTTATAATGATGTTTAATAAGACTAAAAAGTTCAAACCTCTCGATTTGAATCATGATGATCATTTGATTGTTCAGATACATTTTTATAATATAGACCATGTGAGATGTTTTTGTCATGCAGCCCCTTCTTTTCTTTTGCTTTCTCATTTTAAAAATGCTTCACCCTATGAAAAGTTCAGGATGCTCTCTTTTCCAGCTTTATCAAAGGGAAATCCTTCAGATAGGTGGGGTTTTTTGGGTCTGGGAGGGGAGAGACTGTTGGTTTTTACATTCAACCTAGGTAATTGCTTTAGCTTTTTTTTTTTTTTTTTTCCTACCAGATTTAAAATTACGGAATTTGTAACTTGTTTTAAATACATTAATTCTTTGCATTACTTAGTTTTAACCCCATCAGTCATTCCATGGAATAACAGATAATTTTGAAAAGTGATTATACCATCTTGCTACACAGCAGACGTTGTAGAAATAACTTTGTATTTGTTTGGTATGTTCTGGACATACTGCAAAAATACAGTTTTGGATCAATGCAAATGAGAATGTCTAAAATGTGAATGTAGATGCAAGAACGCTTGATAGCATAAAGTGCTGTTTCTTCTTCTAGCATCACCATTTCCCCCTTAAATCTAGCTACCTTTTTTATTCTCACCAACTTCTTGAAGGACTTAGGAAGGAGATAGTTTGCAAGTGTGAGATGGCAGGCATGGGGCTTTAAAAATACAATAGTGGAGACTTTATCTGATGTTAAAAGGTAGAATTTAAACCTAAAATATAAAAGTTTACTCCTTCTCTTCTTTAGCAGGTTTTCCTCAATACTCTAGGGTAACCAGTGTCTTTTGGACTAGTATTTGCTTATATTTTTTTAATGCTTGAAATTAAATTTCTGTGAAATAGTGTACTGATAAAATGAATGACAGCCTGTAAATTAATCTATATTATTTTGTAAAACATTCATAGTCTGAAGCGAGGGGTTTAAAATTATTTGCTACAAACTTTCAGAATTGGGAAGCTATCAGCTGCTTAATTTAAAAATCATTGAGTCACTGGGTTTACCTGTTCTATTTTCTTATTTTGTCTGCTTACTTTTCAAGTCTATAAATAAAAATAGCCCATGCCCAGTTTTTTTTCCATTGATTTCCAGGAGTGACAAGTAACACCATTCAGCCTGCTCCTCAGAATATTCCTCTAGTCGATCCTTCCCTTTACAGTGCTCAGTCTGCAGGTAAGATGGTGGCATTTGTATTGTCTGTACATGGACGTGCTGTGTCCTGTGTGTCTCCCCTGCACTGAAGGAAAAAGTTTGAGAAATAATGTCATCGTTATCTGAATGCTACTAAATCCAAAATTTTACGAAGAATGGACATCATCTAAACATTGTGTTGCTAAGAATTTAATAGTTTCTGAAAGCTTTGCTCCTGTGTATGATTAGTGTTGTCTATCTGACTTTTTTGACCCAATGAGCTAACATTGTGTTAGGCTTTTTATTATTTATGGTGTTGCTCCTCAGGTGAGGTTCTGATACACTTAGCAAAGTCTGTACTCCTGGTGGCCTTGCTAAATTGTATTTTTGGTAATTAATACACATTCCCTTTACTTAAAATTTCTTCTATGGGGTCAGTACGTAAGTTATTTATTCACTTCATTAAATAATCACAACATTCCAGTGGTGTTTTCTGTTGCAGCATAATTGTTATGTGTGCTTGTTGATTTTTAGTAGTACCTGTATTAAATGAAATAATTCATAAGGTACTGCTGATGTTATTTTGATATACCATTTAATCAAGGATTTTAATGCCATCTGTCTTTGATGTTAAAAATCACTGATAACCCATATTACATGTATTTTATGTCTGCTTGCATATACCATGCTTTGAAGTGCACACATAAATGCTAACCCTAGGGAAGCCATGGCCGGTGAAAGAGTAGTGACTGACAATAAAGCTGGAATCATCCTAGATTCTAATTTGAACACTGATGTGCATTTGGACAAATTATTATCAGTTTTCTAGGAACTTTTCTGTCCGTGGAATAGAGAAAATAAAAAGATAAGTTATATCTGTTTGTAATAATCAGATTTTTGTTGGCAATATAACAAGGATGTTGAGCGAGGAGGAGGTCTAGAAGTCCTGATATGAAGTCTGTTCACATCCTACCCTACAGTTTATCCTCACCATGGAAAGCTGATAGTATAAGTAATCGATGTTTTAAGCTCCAGTACTAGATACAGTCAAATGTTGCCATTGGGCTACAGAGTTTAAGTAGGTATATTCTTGTATATTGTAATTGACAAATATTTAGTTAGGTATTTTATAGTTTATTATGTTGTTGAAGAGGGTGTCTATGTTAAAATACCAACTTTACTGACAAAGCATTTTTGATTCAATGGAATGCTATAATAGGAATTCAGTATTTAGCTTGATTTTAGTCTGCTGTCTTAAGAATGCTTAAGGATGTGTGCATCTTAATCTATTCAGAAGCCGTTTTTGTAGATGTCTTAAAAAAGATAAAAATAACAATATTTACCTTTGATAGAGACACATTAACCTTTAGTATTCTCTTGAAGAACAAAAGGCACATCCTATTTTTTGTCTGGCGTATTACTGTAATGTCTCATGTGACATGTGACCTCAGACCTGTAGCTGAACCATTTAAACTTGGTGATAGTTTTTGAGTTTGGGGGGCTGTTGTGCGGGTTTTGGTAGCTCCTTAACCAAAACAGCTGAAGGCTTTACTTAAGCTTTACTGTAGTAACTGCTAGTTGGAAAGCAAATTTTGTGGTGTGTGGCAGCAAAGCTTTCATGTCTAACCACCTTATCATGACCCTCTAGATAGTCATTCTAATAGGTTTTTGGATAACGACCCTGAAAATTTTAGTCATCATTGTTTCTGGGTTTGAATGTTTAATTCTAGTTGTCAAAAATGTCATAACTTTAATTTAAACTTTAATTCTTCATTAAGTATTAGAAGCTCCATTATTCGATATCGGGCTAGTATCGGTACATTGCTCCCTTTAGCCACTTACCTGTGATAACCTGATTTAGTAAGTACATAAATAAAAAGGAATTGAGTTAGTTAAGATACCCTGTGTTTGTGAGTATTCGCAATAACTACTATCCTGTAATTAAGAGATTAAGACCCTTGCTAAGCACAGTGATGAATCTGTAAGTTGATCTAACCTGAGTATTTGCATGCCTGCATTCCTCCTCTGCACATCTGTTGTGTCACTACAAGTTTGGGTCTTGTAAGTGTCACATTCTTACAAGGGAGTTTTGCAAAAGTGCACCCGAAGAGGTGTACAGCTCATACAGATACTCGGTTCCGAAAGCTTAGAAAATACGCTCTCAGTTACGCAGGAGTTTGAGAGGGCAGAAGGGTTATGTGAGTCAGCAGAGGTACAGTAACACTTTTGTTGGCATACATAGAATTAAGAAGCTTGAGAGCGATGGGAATTGTTTGTCCTTGCCTGTCACTGTCCTGTCATGCATGCCTGGTGATTACCCAAAGCATCCTCCCTTCAGCTCTACATATAAGAGTGACGGCAGGTATCATTCTTCTCATGCTGCTGAGGAGTCCTTTTTATGCCAACAGTACTCTGTTCCACAGTAGCCTTATTCCCTGACCTATAAGTAGATTTAGAAACGCCTGTATCTCACAGTGAACGTACTAAACTGTGGGACCCAGGAGCCCTTCACAGTTCCTGAGTTGCAATTTATGTGTTCGGGCTAGATCTTGGCTGCATATTGAGGTTAGACTTCAGTATGCACCATTCCTATGGAACTGATGTTTCCTTTGGGTGGTGATCAGTGATCAGTGTTGCCCTCCAGTAGATCCACAGAGCTAGCACAGTGCAAAGTACACTTGCTCCACGATTTAGACACGATGTCTGTGTCTATACTAATAAATTAATCATGCCTGTAAATATTTGACACTGAGAACAGCTGGACACAAAACCACTCACATCCATACTATTAAACTTCTAAACCTTCTAAACAAGGTAGTTTGTGAAGGCTGCCAATACTGAATGGTCTCTAGCCTGCTCTAACCGCAAGTTGTGCCCAGGAATTGTTTGGGAAAGTACTAGTTTGCTAGTTTGCGTGGGCCAAAACCATACTGGAGTCTGTTCCAGCAGTTTGACAGTGTAGACAGTCAAGTTTGAGTCCTGAGACTCGTTCCCTGGCACTGTTGAATGTACTAGTATAGGCATAGCCAAACAGGATATTCCACATATTCCTGCAAGACTCCTTCTGGTAGTAAGATCAAATGTGTATTTTTAAAATAAATTCTGTATTTTCTTTCCTTCCCATAACATGGGAGAAGTAATTTGATTAATGCTATGGTCGTAAAGAAACTTGGTGGAGAAGAGTGGAGTATTTAATCAAAAGAAAATTAAGTTAAAGTAACAGTATTCCTTTGATTTTAGTCAGTGTGAACCCTTCAGTAATTGTACTGTCCTGTGGGAATAGGTTTCAGAGTTTAAGGTTGACTTTTGAAAGTGACAGAGCTTATGCAATTAAGCACTGGTAAATGTCTCTGACAACAGAATGTTGCTGTTGTAGAGCTACACAGCAACTTTGTATAATGTGTGCATGCACACCTCTGGTGTAGTTTGCTTAAAAAATGTATTACCCCTAGATATTGCTAACACTAAATGCATTCATGGTTGTGCTACATAGAGGTTTTTTAAATTCTTCTTGCGTTACCACATGCTCCCTTCCACAGGTGGCATAGTATAGAGAAACCATTTGTTCATTCTCATGTGTATAATAATGTTTGATTTCTCTACACACAAAGTAGAAGTAATAATTTGACATTTATGTGTTTTCATGATCTTAAGAAGAAATAGTTGAGGATTTCTATTTCAAGTATCTTAAGTGCTTTAATGGGAAAAAAAGAGCTCGTTTCAAAAGTTGTTTCAGTTACCTTTGCAATCGTTGTTTTTATAATACACCAAGTTGCATGAATAAAATGTTCTTAAATTAGCTGCCATGTATTTGTGCAACTTCAGAAAAAGGAAAAACATCTGATGGATAGAAGAGGATACCAGGGAGAAGCAGATACATCATGTAAAATATGCATTATTTTTATTCTAAAACTGCTTTTTTTCCCAACATGATTTTCAGCATCTCTAGTCAAATCGCCTTTTGGTTTTCACATTGTGTTCCTCTAAACTGACATTTTTGTTAATGCTGACATTAGTTACGGATTCCATATGTCTATCATGTTTCAGTAATAAATATAACTACTGTGCTAATAATTTCAGATTAACACAGAAGTAGGTTTGTTTCAGGATAAATACAGTATACTTTTCCCATCTCAGTGTTGCTGGGCTTTTTTAGAGCTCAGAATGACAAGATGGTTGAGGTGGGAAGCGACCCCTGGGGGTCATCTGGTCCAACCCCTCTGCTCATATAAGCGTCCTGTAAAACGGATTGCTCAGGACCATGTCCTTTGTGTCTACCCCTGCCCCTGCATTCTCCCCATGGTTTAATTTGCAGCACCGAAGGAAGAAATTTAAGAAAAAATGCCACTGTTAATTCAAAAGATGGCTTTTGAGTCTCTCCAAGGATGAAGACTCCACAACCCCTCTGGGCAAAAGTGTTTGCTGATGTTCAGGCAAGACCCTCCTGTCTTTCAGTTTGTGAAACACCTCTGGTCTTGTCAGTGGGCACCACTGAAAAGAGCCTGGCTCCATCTTCTATGCACCCTCCCTTCAGGTATTTGTACACATTGACAGTATCCCCTGAGCCTTCTCTTCTCCAGGCTGAACAGTCCCAGCTCTCTCAGCCTCTCCTCATGAGAGACCTGCTCCAGTCCCTTCATCATCTTTGTGGCCCTTCGATGGACTCTCTCCATTATGTCAGTCTCTCTTGTACTGAGGAATGCAGAAATGGACACAGTCCTCCAGGTGTGGCCTCATTAGTGCTGAATAAAGGGGAAGGATCACCTCCCTCCACCTGCTGGCAGCAGTCCTAATGCAGCCCAGGTTGCCATTAGTCCTCTGCTGCAAGGGCAGATTGTTGGTTCATGGACAAATTGGTGTCCACCAGGACCCCCAGGTCTTTTTCTGCAAAGCTGCTTTCCTTTTTTCCAAAACAGCTTAACTCTTAGAATATGTAAATTGAAGTCAGTTACTACCTTTTGTGGTTATACCTTTGATGTAAGTACAGACATTATAGTTAAGTTTCACATTATTTTGAAAGCTTAAGAATGCAGAGCTGTTTTATTTCTATTCTGCTTGTCCATTGTGAGGTGCTGACTTCAGTAGCAGCTGAGGCCACCAAGCACATCAAAAGATCAAACCTTTACTGTGTAAACTTTGGTTTATAATTTAAAATTGTTAACTTTTTTGCCCTCAAGTTATGTCATAATAGCATCTGAAGTAGATTTCATAATAAATAAGGCTTTATGCCAGCAAAACATTAATAGAGCTCATACTGTAAAAATAAGATTAGACTGGTGAATTTAGGCTTCCTTCCAGCAAATTAGTTGAATACTGGACTGATGCCTTGGCCAGTTTTTAAAAGAATGATTTTGTAGTTTCTTTTGGCATCATAGCATAAAGCCACTTTGAGGGGAACTTGGTCTTTTTAATTTCTTAAAGATGTTCAGTAATGTGATTGCAGATTGACCCCAGCTGCTTTTAGTCTGTGACTTTATTTAGGTTACAAAATAACCTAAGTGTGCCTGTTTTTGTGCACTCCCTCGCATGTATTTACTCACATGTGTATGTATTTTAAGAGATTTAATGTGGCTTCACTTATTCAGCAGTAAACTAATATACATTGCAATGATAATGAGCTCACCAAGTTGTCATGTGCCTCAATATTCAACAGTTACTTTGTGGTTACATTTTTTTGTTGAAGGGAAAGTAAGTATGCTTCCAGAGTATATTTTAAAAATTTGTAATCTTAAGGGCACTTACCCTTCTGCTTTTTATTGGGGTAGGGTTGTTTTGAAACCCAGCAGACCAGTCTAGTTTTTAATATTCCCAGGTTTTCAGTTTTATTTGTTCAAAAGCTGTTCTTAAATAATAAGACTGGGGAAAGGAAAAGCAAATATAATAGACATTTTCTGATAAGAACTGAGATTCTTTCGTAAACGTTCTCACAGTATTGCTTACAACAGTTTTATTTTGAAAGAAAGGGATTCAGCTAACTGAAATTGTACCATAAAAATGCATTTAAGTATATTCATATCCTCGCTTAAAATTAGAAAGCTGTACTTAGACAGCTAAATCTTTGTTTAACAAATTTTATATAAAATCTATAGTGCATTTCAAAATGCATTTTTCTTAATCTGTGAAATCTGTTCATTGCTTGTAAGATGCTGTTTGGGAAACCAATTAAATAAATACATAATGCTTTAGTATTGCATATAATTATCCATGTCCATAAAAATCAGTCTTTTTACGAGTTAAGTTGTTCTGAAAGAATATGAGTAAAGGTTTTATAATTTATCCATAGCTTGTTGGAGTGGCATGGGATTAGCGTTAAAACTCCCAGTGAATTTGTGGGTAAAAGGGGGGACAGTAAAATAACTGTGCTTTATTTTATGTACACGAGTGATGCTATTCAATCTTCTGCCAGGGCATAAGTCCCTACTGTGCTTTCTAGAAGACTGAATGCATGTGTATAGGCATTACAGATTTCCGAGTGTTTTAACTTACATGATGAAAATATTCTGATTAATAAATACAGTTAATTGTTCTGTACCATATTATGAGAGTATTTTTTGCTAATGTTATCCATCCGATATTGCAAAAATGGGCACATTTAATGAGATCAGTCTTGTTTTCAGTCATCTTACATAAAATTGGAAACATAAACATTACTTGGATAAAACAGAAATATAAAATGCGCAGAAACATGCCAGTGAGAAATGCCCAGAATTTGAAAAGTTATTCCAGTTGAGAAGGAATAGTTTCTATTATGTATTATTCCTGAAGAAGAGAGCAAAGTAATTATACTGTAAACACAAAAAACACTGTCCTTGTTTCTTGCAGGTTGTAATGTGATTACAGCTAACTTATTGTAACTAAAAAGCTCTCCTTTGCTGCCTTAGATGAAGAGCAGATCTTTCTCAAAGGTATTGACTTACTTTTGAAAGGCACTGGGTCATACAAATACCAGTGTTTAGAAAGGTCCTCTTATATTTTTCAATTGCTAGCAGCAAAGAAGTTAAGCAGTGTATGAATGGAAAGAAAAATGAACAGAAGATACACTGTAGCTTGGTCTATGTAATATTAACACAGATATTAACCTGGTTTTCATAATATTACTGGAAATAAGTAACACACAGAAATCATGTGAAAGGAAGCCTCAGTCAGATTTCTTTTATAGTAACTTTGTAATACTTATGTTTTTGCAGGGGAAGTCCGTTTGACTCCAGAGGACTTTGCCAGAGCTCAGAAATATTGCAAATATGCTGGCAGTGCTTTGCAATATGAAGATGTGAGCACTGCTGTGCAGAATCTACAGAAGGCCCTCAAGTTACTGATTACGGGCAGAGAATGAAGCCTTTATCCAACAGATTCATGTCTTTTGCCTAAAGAACTAACAACTTACTACTGTACCTATTAGGGGAGTGGAGTTATACACAAGTGCTCAGTCCCTTCACCCATGGCAATGCAATCACTGTTTCAGTGTCAGATTAGCAATTAATGGTACAGTAGGAATCTCTGTTTTCATTTTATAAACAGTGGAGCTAGAAACATATGAATGCAGTGGCTTGATGTAAGCAAAATGCCGAAGAAAGTACTGTGAACACTGCTCAAGAGTTAGAATTAATCTTGCAATATTTAGATTATCAGAATGGGAAAATGCTGAATATGAAAAAAAACTTAAGTATAAGAATGTTCTGTTAAAATTCTTACCCTGATTTGATTATTTCAAACAATTATTTAATAGTTTTTAATTTCAAACAATTATTTAATAGCTTTAAAATGATAACTAAAGATTAGCGCTTTCCTCCTGAAATGAGAGCATGTGAGAAGGCTGACAGATCCACACGGGAAGGACCTTTTTCTAAACATAAATTATTTGGGTGTTATCTGAGACATAAGTCAAAGTTGAGGGAGACCTGAGGACACTTGTATTTCATTTTAACACATACTGGAAAAAACATCTCTTGATACTTCAGAAAGAGACGGTGTTCCAACCCAATACCCCACAAATGTATGGACTGTTACATGTATTCTTGATTATTGGTTCTTGCTCCTTTTGTGTGAACATTTACAATTTTGTATATGTATGGGTAACTAAGAGAAAGTACTAATATTTATCAGAGATGATCCTGAAACCAGAGGCAGTGATTCTAAACAACATGAACTTTTAGGGAGATGTACTTAATAGCTGTTCCATCTTTTTAAGAGGTTGAAAAAAAGGCCTGTTCTTCAGCCATTAAAGCAGTATAGGTTCATCTCTGATATTAGTGTCATAGAGCTTCATATTTCCAGCTAATATTCTTCCTGTCTGCTTTGTTGTGGAGACTTTTTGGACTTGGGATTTAATTAAAATATCTTGGAAACTGAATTTTGAGTCTTTATGAGGTCTGCCCTTGCAATTACAGAGCTCTTGATTGTTAAAAATCCATCCATGCTGTTCAAAAGAAAGAGTAAGTAGTCTTATAACTGACGTGACATAATAATTGAGTACACCATAAAGCATGTCGGATTTATGTAATAATTATAGTGACGTATTATCCAACCTGTGTTTCTTTCCAAGCTGCCGGATTAAATCCACATATTCTTTATGGCCGCACTGTTTTGCAGTGGCTAAAATAAGTCTGATATTCAAAGCAAAAAGATGAGGAAAAGAAAATCAAACATAAGCATGCATTAAAGTTTAGCTGGTTGTATCCTTTTTAAGAGTGTAGTCTTTGACTGCAGATTTGAAAAGGGTAGTATAAAACTTGTAAATGTACGCTTAAGCATTTTAGTTGGCAGATTTAATAGATAAAATGTCTGATATTGTTTGTGTTGCTTTCTGATATGGGGTGGCATGCTAATCTGGACAGTGACTTGGATTAGATTTTAATTATGTTGGGAAATTTAGAATAAAGCAATCTGAAACTTTTTTGATAGTAATGCTGTACAGACCTGGGCTATATACCTGTGTTTTGTAAAGTGTTCCATACAAGACAGATCCCTCACTTCAGTATCAAAATTAATTACAGTAAATTATTCCATGGATATTATAGTGGTGTTACACTGTGCTGGAAAAGCTGCTTTCCAGTTGAAAGGAGGATGCAGAACATTGGGTCCATGAAGAAGTATATATATTGTATTGCTATAAAAAATCAGAAGTCGCTTTACTTTTGGGATCACACCACTATTTACTAATACCAGCTTCAGTCCCCATCACTTGAAGGAGGAAAGTCAGTTTTCCTGTTTCTATTTAAAGAATGATTAAAAGAACTTTGGGGGTTTTGTATTACATGGAAAAATAAGCAAGCTATGATATAATACTGTATTAATTTGAGGCTTTTCAATTAAAATCGATATTTTTTTTGTGATTGAATGATATGAATGATAACTAAGAAGGTTGCAAACAAAAATGTAAGTATTTCTTAAAGCATATAAAAAATTGTCTGTTGGCAGACAACAGTTGTGTTGAATCTCTAGGTTACTCTAAGAAACCACGGAACCATCAGTGAAAAAGCAATAAGCAATAAAAAAGCCATAAGCAGTACTTTTGAGTGATCATTTACAAGTATGTAACCTTCTTCTGCCTAGAAAGAAATTAAAATAATTGTCTCTGAGGGGAATGGAGGTGAAAATGCTAATACAAAAGTTTAATTTCTTAGAGTAGCTATCAGGACATTCTCTCTGAAAATAAATTAGTGTTTAGAAGATTTATCATATAAAATTCTCACGAATTCTGGAAAATCAAACATATCCTAATACTGACTTTCAGACCACAATACCTGAATTAGCATATTGAGTTTTATTTTGCATAAATTATTTTGCTCTGATAATTTATTTTTTAATCATCAAACCATGTCTGAAGCCACATGTTTAAGCTGCTAACATTTGATGCAACAGACTCTGAGTCTTTGTCATCCAAACCAATGCCTAAAGTAAATTATAGAAAAATGTTTCCATTCCATTAAGTATAGACTCTGGGACAGCGTTAAATGTGGCAGATGGCCAAAAAGTGCAAGCCAGTGTTGCAGAACAGTTCAGAAAGTGTACATATTTGAAAATGTCAGGAGAATGAAGGTAGATAGCTTGTGATTATTCCAAATTGGAATTTATAGTATGCACTGGAATTTATGGCCTCATTGTTAAATATTGTGTGAGCTTGAAGTGTTGACTGATTCATTTTACAGCCGCTCTGGATGATAAAGTATCAACCCATAGCTCCTCTTAAACCAATTCCCAACACGTACAAGTACAGTATTAAATAGAGTGCTGTTTCTCTTGCATGCTACAGCCAACACCTCTCTCCTCTTCAATATGATTGCCACCTGCGTGCTTGTTGGCCTTTCTCCTCTGGACTGTGAGTTCCCAGTCTTCTCAATCTCATCTTAAGAGAGGAGAAAGCGTTTTCTGACAAATACTCAGTTTTGCTACTTATGTAAGCTAGAATTTTAGTAAATCTGTTCAATGTTTGTTACTTAAAAGGCTTTTGGTATTTCTTAAGGTGTTTGCAGTTCTTTATACTTTCACCTCTCTGCAGGGAAAGTTCCATGTTGTACTTCAAGATTCTTGCAAAAGGCTTTGAAAAGTGTCTTGTGGAGCAGGTCATTGCTTATTAAATGGTGGAGATATTTTCAAATGTGCAGTAATTGGATTTATTAATACTGGAGGTGTTCTTTTAAAATTGTTGCAGTCGTTTCTGGTAGAATTTTTAATAATGTCTTTCATAAGTGAAGTTTCAGAAGCATAGACTTAAGTATGATCATATTCCAGAATGTGATTGTAATTGTAGTATTTGATGCTATATAATACTTACCTACAAAAAATTAACTACAGAGAATCTTACTATCTGAAGTAGGTTGGGGGGGGTGTGCAGACACATGTGTCTGTGCGTTTATAATATAATGCATATAAATTCAGTGGTGGGCTATAAAAAGGCCTTCCAAAAAACATAATTAGTATCTTGTTTACAAGTATTGGGAAAATGTCAGTTACAAATATATAGATACTGCTGACAGATGTTCTTAATGCTAAATTTTAAATGTGCCAGTATAGTGCCAAAAGTTAGCTTTTAATTGTGCAGTATTCCAAACAAATGATCTTTGGTTTTCTCCTTTTTCACATCAACAGTGAAATAGGAGCCTGGTACAAAAAGAATGAGAACACAAATTTAGAGGAAGTTAGATTTACAAAAGATCAAAGAGAGTTTCTGTTATTATAGAGTCTTTGGGGTAGTGTTCTGACTGAGACTGAAAAGTGCCCTTGCTTATAAAGCATAGCTCTTGCTTTCTTTTAAAATGCCCTCCATTGTGGGGTTTATGGAATGAAAGCCTGAGCCTGGATATCTGATTAGGAGAATCTAAAGTTTGATGCTACGTTTCTAAACCACCAATGCATGTTGATACTGACAGTAACTGTTCTTCACAATCACCTCAGAATACCTATTTTTAAATGTTAGAATTTTAACCAAGTTTGTTGGGAAAAGGAGGAATGCTTTTTTGTTACTGCGTTGCCACCTTTCAGTGCACAGCTGTAGTAACGAGAGAACTGAAGAAAACATGAATTTGCATTAGATATTTCACTATCAGCAAGAAAAGTATATTATGTTGCCAGCAGAGCTCTTTTTGGTTTACAAGAGCATTGGAACAGTCTGATCATAGAGATCGTTGTGAATGTAATGCCCTAAATGATCTCAGAATAGGAACTTTGTAAATAAGAGCATTGAAAACAAACTTTAAAGAGAGCAGAGACACATGCTAGGGGAGAAAAAGAATCACACCCACCACAGAACGGGAGGGGGCACAGAAATGGTTGCAGAAGAAAATGGAAGAAATGCTTACAATCCCACATGGGATGGGAGCAGGGCAGGGACTGGAGTGAGGCTAGAGTTATTGGCTGATTTCTTTAGAACCTTGAAAGAGATGAGAAGGAAGCTTGAGCATAAGGTAGAAGATTAGAGGAAGATAGGAGAGGTGGGGAGGAGCAGTAGAATGACAAAAAAAACCCACCTTTTTTTACAGCAAACTGGGAAAAATGTGAGGTATAGCACAGGAGAAAGTTAACCTAGTTGAGGAAATGATAGCAGAGACTAAGTCTAGCCCTGAAAGGGAAGGAAAAAAATACAAGTTGGCAGCATTCTGAAAATGGAGAGGAGCAGATGTCCTCTTGGGACCTTTGTGCTCATTAAAATATTTATTAAATAATTAAAGTTGATTTGATGTGGCCCTTTTGGAAAATTTAGGAGACTTAATATTTATGCAAATAACTGCATCGTATCTGCAGAGAACTAAAGAGATCCATGTTTGTCCATAAATGCTGTCTCCTGACTTTGTGCTTTCCTTCCTGTTTTGATTTGCCTCCCCATTTTCACTGTCTGTATTTATTCTGTGGTATTCCCATAGCTAGAGGGGAGGTTGTTGTGGTTGAATACAATGCTAAGTATGAGAGCCCACATGTTTAGACATTCTCAGGCAATTTGGGAAGATTAGCAGGTCTGGGTTTTACCTAGTGTGTGCTATGAAGAAAAACGTAGCAATTGTACTTCTCTCCTGAGCTTCAGAGGCTCTTTGGCAGCAGTACGACTACAGTATTTAAAGAAGGATATGCGGAAATTAACTCTACTCAGAGCCATATTCCCAGTCAGAGCCCAACAAACTGATCCCTAAGAGTCCAGAGACCTCCAGCTAAATGGTTGGTGAAATTGTCAACTTTCTTGCCTCAGTTAGCCCATCTGTAAAATGGGCTTCTTTAGATTTAACAGATCTTAATATAGTCAGGATTTTTGTAATTGTGACAAGTAATGACAAGTGTTACTGTCACAAATTCCCAAAATAGAGTTTTTAAGAGGGGCAGAGAAGGCATTAATATGTAATGAGAAGATGTATAATGAGAATGGAAGAAATGGAAAAAAAATTGATAGTTTAGGGAACAATGGGCAGGAATGAGGAGATCTGAGATACAGAGACAGTGTTGCTGTAAGTCATGGGCAGCAATTTAAATAGAGTAGTAATATCTAATGCAAATCTCAAAATGTTGGATTTATCAGAGAACCAACATAACCGGCATTCTTTAGTTTTAGAAAATTAATGCAATGAATTTCATTTACTTAAGTAATGCTTGACATACGGCTCTAAAAATATTTAGGTGAAAATAGATTAACATGAGAATTGAAAGGTGGATTAAAGCTGGTGGAAAGAGAGATTGCAGTAAACTCTTAATAATTTCCAGGATGGAAATGGAGAGAGGTCAGCCTAGGGATACGTCCTGCTTCATATACAACTGACTTAGGTTGAGATCGCCATCTAAGTCACGCGTAATTTGTGGATGAGATGAAGTTGGGAGGTACTGCAAGTACTGCAGAGAACTGGGAAAAATTCTGACTTTGACTGAAAGACTAAAACTGAGTGAAACTGAAAACGCAAAATACAAAGTCACTCACTTGGGTTCTAATGAGAATATTTTTAAAGTAAAATTAGGATACTAGAAACTGAAATAACTGATCGGCCTCACTGAGTGCAGCAGGCTAATGCGAATTTAGGGTGCATTGGGTGAGATTGTTTTAGTACAGAGAGTAAGTAAACTGTAACAATACTGGGTTTGATTCTGATCGTTGTTGCTGAAAGTTTTTTACTAGTAAGAGATGCAAAGAAGGGCTACTGAGATGCTGAAAATCTTTACTGAAAATAGATTAAGTCTGGTTATGGAATGGCTTTCTTAAGGCATTAGGGACAAAGCATTAATTGATTTTAAGACATCTTGATAAATTTTATGGATTGGAATGCAAGATTGAAGTGGTTCTAGAGTTAAAATTTCAGTTTGTCAGTCAGTGAGCATTTGGGAAGATTTTTCTGGCTTTGCTCAACCTTGAGTAATGGTCCATCTCCCAGAATACCTGGAAATGTTACTGTAAAAAAAGGTATTGTGGGACCTGAGACATTGTGATGAACTGATTCCTCCCAGTGTCTTCCAGTGACACATCATTTTGTCATTATTTGGTCTAATGTTTGTTGTGATGCATTGTGAGCATTTTGTGAATAATAGTGAGTGTGGGGCAGAAGGAAGTGATTCTTACACATCGTATGAATTCAATACCTAGCGTATGCTTGCTTGCAGCTGTGGAAGAATATCCAGTCTGCGTGTTTCTGAACACAGACACCTTTTAAACTTGCAATACAAAAAACTTATAAAAGATTTAGATGTATTACATATTTTCAAGATGGGGCTCTGCTCAAAATAGAGGCCATATATCTTGGTGTGAACACAACTTTGCAGGAACTAGTCCATAATGAAATCCCTGTAAACTGTTGTAAAAAAACAGCAAATACTTCTTTTGTGCTGAAGGTAATAAAGTGTATCAGTACAGTCTTGGGAAAAATACTTTATTCAGCGTAGATGTTGAATCTGTATTTGTAAAACAGGCATGCGGGTACTCATGACTGCTGCACTTCAGCTCAGCAACACTTTGGTAATAGAAGCTTTACACATATCTGGTTTTCATCCTACACTTACTTGCCTGAGTAACTTCACCCATGTGAATGGTCCTATTGAGGCAATAAGAGTACTCATATACATAAGTGTTTGCTGTGTTCGGGTAGAAAGCTTTGCTTGTCGTTCAGTAAAATATAGCTAGAACAATGGCAATGGCTTTAATGGATCTCCAGTGTGGGGGTTCTACTCTCATAATCTTTATACTGACAGATTTTGAGACAAAAGTCTTGACTTTTTTCTATTTATGTTTTCTGTTGGGAAATGCTGAGGTTTTATTTGTACTTTATACAAAATAATAATGATAAATCTTACTGAATGTAATTGCACTAGACTTGCAGAAAAGGACGGTACTCCTTTGAAGGCTCCATCAGTATATTTTTTGGTACAGATATATCCAAACACAGCTCCTATTAGCTAAGAAATTTTTATTCTCAGCAACACATGCAGGGACGTGCACAAGCCCCACAGTACAGGCCCTGCCATGTATACTGCAGGTGGTCGTGAACGAGGGCAACTTCTATACTTGTTCAACCACCTACCTAAATCAGAACACTCGGCTCACTTTCGAAAAGAGTCTTATGAACTCTTGTTGAAGCTTCTTCCCCTTGCCACACAGCTTTAGATCATCTATTTCTCCCACAAACTCTTTGGAGTACTTAGCAGTTGTCCCTGCTGAAGCTCAAGTGAGATACAAACAGTGTAAAATGTGAGAGCTTCTTCCTAAAGCCACTTGTCATAGTAATTGTGTAGTATATGTTGGCACTGTTCAGTCAGCTTTCTGTGAAATCTGTATATGTCTTTACCTGTATATGACAGGTCTACGGATCCATGTGTATTTGATCAAGTCACTGAGCTCCTGGAGAGTGCGGCTTTCTGCCCGTGCCATGACACTGCTGGCATGCTACAGAATTTCCATATGTTTTCTTCTGGGATACAGGTTTCTACAACTTCTCACTTTTTGTTCTTGATCTGCATTCTTGTTCAAAGCAGCCTAGCTCTGGATGGAAAGATTCGCTTACTTCTCTATTTTACCAACTATCCTAAAAGTCGGCAGACTAACCAAAGATGATTTTTTTCTCCTTGCAGATAAACTTGCATGTATTTTTCTTGAGCATCTTACGCAAGGCAAACAATTTGTAAACTGGAAGGAGAAAATTATATATATATGTGTGTGTGTGTGTATATACATATACACACACACACTTACTCCACATTGGCAAATACTCTTTTTTCAGTTGTTCTTTCCATTAGAATTTTGAGCGTATTATTTCTTAACAAGATACATCTCTATTTTCTCTAATTACAGTTTTGTATGTGAAAATATACTAGATTTGCCAAAACTACAATCCAGTGCACCAAGACCACTTTGGGGGGGGAAAAGGCATGTGTCAGTATTTTGCAGTGCAGACTTCATTTTTATCAAGTTTTGCTTTGTCTTTTGGAAGATTCTTGGATAGCAAAACCCTAGGGTACAAACCCAGATGAA